TGGCAAACCACTTCTGAAATCTTGCCAGGAAAACTGCAGGGACTTGTACACACACACACACACACACACACACACACACACAAACCTATTCAGGCTTTCCTATGATTAGAAAATAAGAGTCATACTGTGACAATCACAAAGATGACAAACATCAAGCTATCTTTTTGCTATCTGAACTTCAGTGGTGTGTGGGCTTGCTCTGATCTGGATATAGGGGTTGAATGGAAGTGTGGTAAGTCCAAATTAACATGGAAATGACCTGCAGTAATTTTACAACATGACTGAGGCTGCAAAGTGACACGAAGTACCTCGTCAAGGTGAACTAGGTTGTCTCTTTGTCTGGCCAAGGAGAATCGCTTTGCTTCTGGAGAACATGGTGCTTCTGTAAGAGGAATCAAAGCCACCGTGCATATTGTTTAGGCTCATTTCCAGACTGATTAGGATAATGAAATGTTTTAGTTGCCTTGGACGATGATTTGGGTCAAGAGACAGAAAACTCTTATGAAAAACTAGTAAAGATCTAGAAGCCTGCTTGTATTTGGAGGATAAATGAATCAATGAATAAATAAATAACCATAAATTGGAAGCAAATTATATTTAAATGATGAAAGTAATACAACTGAAGCTTTATTAGCAGTAATGTACACATACAACTCCATTTGTCCAATTGGTTGAACAGATTTAGTATATTACTGAAGCAACTTTTAATATGCTCTCCAAACCTCTTTATCCAGTGTAATATGGATAGAATGTGTCAGCCATAATTCCCATTTGCGGAACCTTTATTTCTCTGGGGAAAAAAGCCTGCAATATTTGCATTACTTATGCAAAGAAGTATAATGCGTATGGCAACAAACCGCTCTAGGTCTGGAATTTAAATGCTCCTAGCGGTTTGGGGATGGGGGTACATTCCCATATGATACATGATTATTATCCAAAAGCCAGAGGTTATTAAATGCTTGAACAGGCAATGCAAAGGTTGTCCTGAAAGAAGTCCTTGTTTTAACCAAGAACTGTAACTACTCAGAGAATCTTAAGTGAAACACCTCCCCCTAGAAAGAAAAAGGGTACAATTTCCTCCCCATTGAAACTGGCATTGAAGGCAGTGACTTTGTCATCCATGTTAAAAGTCACTGTTTCCTCATCGCAATCCAAAAATACGGAAACCTTTCCAGACCTCTTGGGAGGCACGTGAGCATCAGTTTCCAGTTGCCGAAGCCACCAGAGGCCCACTTGCCAAATCCGTTCTTCAGGGACAAGGCTGAGATAGCGCTTCCTCTCCACAGACTTCCCGGCCACCCCAACAGCCCACTCCCTCTGCGTTCCATACTCCACCTCCCAGTAATATTTCCCTGATCCAAATCCAGGATAGCCCAGCACACAGGGACTGCTATTGAATCTCTGTGGACTGTCTGGCACCACTTGGGGGACACCCATATTTTTCACAGTCTTCTTGTCTGGTGACACAACCAGTGATTCAAATGCTGTGTTTGGGTCGAAAGTCACATCAACTGCAGGAAGAAAGATAGAACATCAGAAGCCAAACCAAATTCTAGGGGAGCAACATCACTGAAAGCATTATTACCCAATAATAATCCAAGCTCCACCTCTTTTTTACATGCTTTGCACACGCAACACACCTGAAGACCAGGTGGAGCTTGGATTCCACCATCACAGTTGCCATCTTGACTTTTTTTAGCAGACCCTGCGGACAATCCTGTGTACCTTACTAAAAAATCAAAGTGGTCTCCACCCATCCTTGAGTGAGTAGAAAACTATACTGGCATTAAATTTGGTGCCTGTGTTGCGAAGATTTGCCTATCTCTGTTGCTTTTGTTGCCTCTGTTCCCAGTCACTGTCATTCTTCTGACTTCCCTCTAAGGCAGTGTTTCTCAACCTTGGCAGCTTCCAGATGTGTGGACTTCAACTCCCAGAATTCCCTAGCCAGCCTTACAAAAAGTACAAAAACACAGTACAAAAAAAGATATCGTGGGGACAAGTGTGCACCTTAGTTAGGTGCAAGGGGGGAAAGCCAATGTCTGTTGTTTAAAATGAGATAATCTCACCTTTTACATGACTGTCCCCTCCCCTCCACAACAGACATTAGAAATGCTCTTAACAGGTTATACCAAGAAAGCCAGAAAGCACTGAACAACCCAAACTTAATTGCAATGGGATTGTCTTGCGTTATTGTTCATTTGACCCAACTGATCTTGGAGAACGACATCTAGTTTTCTTCTCATCAAAGATGCTTTAAATTCCAGCAACACTAACCCTTTGCCCCTCCCCTCCAATCTTTTTTTTTCTTCCTAGTGTTTTCCCGCAGGTGCAGGGTCCCTCCCTTTTTTAACCCATCTCTTACTTTTGTACTGGTTTGGGGTGGGTGAAGCTAGAGCCTTTCCACCGCTTTCCTGGTCAGCGAAAAAGCATAGTGAGAACAGGAGGATGCAACAGTATCCTAAACAAGGATAGAAAACAAAGGCAAGAACAGGTAAGGGACTGTTACTACTGTCTTATAGATGGTCAAGTTTGGTTTAGAGAACAGCTGGGTGCAATTTAGCACTTGCTGTCACATGTACAGTAATGTCTTGCAGGGCTTGCAAAATGTCCTGGCTTTTGTTCCTGGCTAGGCAAATACTGAATATTATTCTCATTGGTGTGCGTGGAGGGGATATTTGGAGAACACTGATTGGCTGATCAGTAGATAATGGGATGTATTTCATTCTCCCTCCTAATATATCTGTCTCTCCCAGCAATCTATCGGTGATCAAGGCTGAACAAAATATGACAAAAAGCATAAGAAAATTTATGCACCATGGCTCAGTGATGACTAAAGCAAAAAAAAAAAAAGTTATTTTGCAGCATATGAAGGGATTATTTTTATATTTTTATCCCATCTTTTTTAAAATATATAACTCAAGGCAGTGAACATGCCTCATGCTCTGGCATAAGAGTGTTTAATCAGGCTGGGGAAAAGTATGTACCATATGATCAAGGGGGAACACTGGTGTTGCCAAGACCTTCTTGCACAAATGGGAGCTGAAAGTGTGGAAGAAGCAAAAGAAAACCACAATCAGGATTTTTTTTCTTTACCTGTGAGCTTCCACAGGACATTCTTTGTTTGTAGGAAGTTCAAGCCAAGTTGGAAGCCAGTAGAAAGAGACATGACAGCTATAAATTCTAGTTTCTTACGAAGAAATAAAAAAAAGTCAATGATTAAATGGATTTGGGACTTAATCCAAGTGATTTCACAGCATCACACACAACACCATTATTTTCTGCTCTAAGGTTTTGCTGTGAGTGACCTGACACAGTTTGTTCCCAGATTTGGCAGATGACCAATAAATAATATTTTGAAAACTGTTGTGAACTACAAAAGGACTGAAATCCAAAACTGTCCTTCTGTTTTTGCAGTGAGTTGGTTGGACAGTCGAGCAACATTTCAGGAAGGACAGCAGCACAAGTTTTTGTACACGGACATACAAAGTGTTGCACAATGCCACACAACAGCTTCCAAAAGGCCTTGTGTAACAGTTTCTGAGGGTCTCCTTGCTAGAATTTCATCTGCTTGAGTATCTTAAAACTATGCCTCCAACTCACAGTTTTAAGGAGCCCTAAGCTGCATATGATGTAAGAATTCCCCATAAATGTCTTCCAAGTTAAATGTTCTTTCATCAATTCTAATTAGCATTTCTTCTTTTTCCCACTTTTTTAGGGGGAAGCAATAAATATGTCAATAGAAGAAAAAAGAGGAAAGGAATTAAATTTGGCATTGCTCAGAGATTATTTCAATCACTCAAAATTTAAGGCCACAAGTTGTGGCTGGCAGAGTACCCAGTTCCACCCTTCCAAGTTGCTGATGAGTATTGCTTCTGTCCAACTTTCCTCTTGAATCATTTTTCCTTATGGAGAGAGGATAAAACTATTGTACACCCCAACAGCTGATGCTGAAAGGATAAGTCACTGGTGATCTCTACATGGATGACCTCACAAACCAGTAGCTGAGCTGATGGGCAAATGAATAATGCTCTAGCCTTTTTTTTTTCAATATGTTTCTCTAAGTATCAAAAGGTAAAAGTCAGAAATGCTCACAGTTTACTTCAAAAAGCTGAATTGTGATAGGATGCAGAATGTTGCATTTCAACACCTAAATAAAGATTTTCAAGCCCCCTCCCCCTGGAAAATAAAAGATCCTTTCCACATTCTATCCCCAGATAGTCCAGGATATTATTAGGTTCACAAGCAAGTGCTAAACAATCAGCATTTCTGAAAACAAGCTGCACTATAAGATCTTACCTTCTTTTCAATTATGAGTCCTGGAGACCATGATTTCTCTGGATGAAATGATTTCAGCCCCTTCACTGAAGTCTCTTAAATACTTCTTCCATCAAGGATATTGGCTTCCTGTTTCTCCTCTTTTGTGCAGACTGAAACCATATAGCCTGTTCTGCAGCATTCTCCAACTGGCTTGCTGAGTAGGAGGAAGAGGGGAACAGAAGTTGGCCATTTGATCAGAGGTCTTAAGATGATGTAATTCCGAGAAATGTTACATTCTCACATCAGGTTTCATAACCTTGAACACAGGATTAACTGCTTAAGTATCTCAAAGAACTAAGAGTTCTGTGGCCCTTAAAAACTAATAAATGAATTTCTTAGTCATTAAGATGCCCTAAGGATCATCTTTTTATCTTAAATAACAGAAGGTAGTTCATTCAGCTAGTCTAGTACCTAGTGATAGTATTGTTGTATACTCCCCATTTTTCTGTGCTGGCTTCTTTAGAAGAAAGAGTAATGGAGATTTAAGATACTTCATTCCTATATCTAGCTATATCTATATCTATCTATCTCAGCCTTCTCCAACCTGGTATATGTTGGATTATATCTCCCACTCTCCTCAACCAAACGAATTGTTCATGATGGCTGGGAGCGATGGGAGGGTAGACCAACAATTTGGAAGGCAACAAACTTAAGAGTTCTAGTTGCAGTTTCTACATTCATTGGCTGCTTTTAACTTTCCCCCACTTGTTCCCAAATGACTTTTCTTTATCTTGGACTTCTCCAGTTGCTGATCACTATATGTTGGGCTGTATCTGCAAGGCAACTAGTTGAAACCTGGAATTTTGGGAATTGAAGTCCCAACACATCTGGAAACAACCAGCTTGGAAAAGACTGCTTCCTACACACATGCACACAACTAAACCCCTTTTTTATTTGTGCCTTTGTGACTCCTGGTGACCACAAGAACAAGTCCATATACTTTTCTTGGCAATATTTTCAGAAGCGGCTTGCCAGGTCCTTCTTCCTAGGGTTCAGAGAGAGGGACTCTTCCAGAGTCACCCAGCTGGCTTCCCAGTTAAAGATGTTTTTAGTCCAGCACCTTTAATTACTGCATCAAAATGGCTCAGATTGACTGTTTACAGTGGAATGGCTCTTCTACTGAAAACTTTAAAAGAAGATTTCCAGTTAGTTCCCATTCAGAAAACATACCCAGATCTTGGCTATTTATTCAGCAATTAGCTTAAGAAACAAAATTGTCTGCGTCAGTCAAAACACCAATTATCAGCCGCATTGTCTGGCCATAAAGCAAGCAAGTGATAATCATTAACAGCGAACAATACAACCTGCTTCAACAGTGTGTACTCATTCGGTTTAAAGTCTTACCCATCAGCTCTTTTGAGAGAAGGGAAGTTGAAAAAGGTGAATTGCACCTCTGACTCCCAAATGAAACAACTGGATACCACACTGAGTTGCCATGCTAGATGCCATGCTAGTAGCCCCATCGGCAGAATTGTTCAGGAAAACTATTCAGGCAGCATGTTGTCTTCATCATCTTCATCATCTTCAATACTATAATCTAAGACACTGTTTCTCAAGCCTGGCAACTTTCAGGCGCATAGACTTCAACTTCAGAGGGGTTGGTTATCACCTCTAAAACCCTACATGGCATGGGACCAAGTTAACCGAGGGACCGTCTCATCCCCATTTCATTGACCCATCCCACCTGGTCAGGCAGGGAAGGTATGCTACGGATCCCGTCACTTAGGGAGTGTCGACTAGCGGGGTCCAGGAAGAGGGCCTTCTCTGCCATTGCTCCTCCCCTATGGAACACTCTCCCCCCAGAGGTGAGGTGGGCCCCCACTCTCCTGGCCTTCCAGAAAGGGGTGAAGACCTGGCTCTGCCAGCTCGTGTGGACTTGAGGAGGGGTAACCAACCCTGCGGGTGGTTGGCACCCTGAAGATGCTCCTGTAGGTCAATAACGTATCTTATACCACCAATTCCTTGGATAATATTATTTATTTATGAATGCTGTTTTTATTGTATTTTAAATGGTTTTTTATTCTTCTTGTTGTTGTAAACTCCCCAGAGTTGCTGCTTGAGTGGGATGGGCAGTAACTAAATTTGAAATATAAATATATATAAATAAATAAACTCCCAGAATTCCACATCCAGCATGGTCTTTGCTGAGAATCTGGGGGTTGAAATCTGCAGATATGGAAACTGGCCAGGTTGGAAAGCAGTGATTTTGGATATAATCCTATTTTGGAGAATCAACAACTACAGGATTCAGAAGACGACTGACTGAGAAAATGGTTATGGCAGATAGACACTTGACTGAATGATTTACATTTGTTTTCCTTCTGTAACTTTATCCTGCTTTCTCCCCTCCTCATGGAGGCACTCACAGTGCCTTGCAAGCTATAATGCTGCGTTCATCTGGATCCCTTACAACAAGTGTTGCTGTGTGGTCTGCTCAGCAGTAAGTCATCAACTCCATCAACTCAGGGAGAGAAATTGCTGGAATGTGTGTGGTTAAGGGTAAGAAATATATTATCTTAGATAGGACATAGCCCAAACTGGTCCCGATCTAAACTGGCATCCTGAAGAGGGAGTGTGGCAAATTCTTAGTTTTTGGTATGACACAACAATGCCTCCAGGCATCTTGATTAAGAGCTCCAGGCTTTTCTTTCACAATTGTCATATATGAAGACACATCTCTGATATGGCCTACCATTAGGCACTCATTCCCACCTTCTGAAAGCAACCACTGAAGTTAGACTTGGAACTACTGAAGTTGGTGGCATGTTGCAACTGCTGTACCAGGGAGTGATGAAAAGAGTAATCAGATCTGAAAAATTGCCTAGAGAAACAGAAAAGGGAACAACCTGGCAAAAGAAAAGCTGAATTCTACCTATTAAGGGCTCTAGGCATGGGATCAATTCAACAGATGTTTTAGGAGCACTATGGCCAGATCTCCAAGAGTAAAAACAAGACATATGAATTTATATAAATGTATCTATTTATTAATGCTAAGTACTTGTGAAGCTGCATTTAGAGCTATGCTATCTGGGCTGCAAACATCTGGATGACAGCAGAGAATTACACCAAACACTCTCTTGCTGTCATGTAGCAGTTGGCTGGACGTTTGCAGCCCAGATGTGGTCGTCTTGGGCGAAATGAGGAATGAATGTGAAATTACGTTCTATGCTCCCATTCTCCTGAGCCAGCTGCTGTACTCACAACTTGCACTCCCACTGCTTGCACTACTGCTGACTGCCAGCTAGGATTTGCTCCTCAAAACCAGGAAACTTTCCTTGTTTTGGAAGGCGTGCCCAACAAAACCAGAAAGTCTGGTCACCATAGCGGATTAGCTAACTGATTCCGAGAATGCCAGCTAACATATGCAAACACCATTTCATCAAGAATAGGGCCATTTGCAAAATGCGTTGGGATGAAGCAAGCATTCTCATCTGATCTGTTAAAACAGTCGTGTTGTTATTGTTATTATTTATTTCAAATTATAGCAATAATTGTAAATCAATTAAATTGTAATCAAATTATTTTAATTTATTTTATGAACGATTTAAATTTATTGGCCACCCAATCCAATGGACTCTAGAACACTCATGTGGCTGCTTCAAAGCTGTTCCCTTTGTGTTTCTGTGTATTTTTGCAGTCAATTCTTTTCTAGGACTGCCAGTGAAGCAAAGTGGCCATCTACACACACACATGTGGAGACAGCCAGAGAAGGCATTAGAACAGTGTTTCTCAGTCTTGGCAACTTCAAGCCGTGTGGACTTCAACTCCCAGAATTCCCCAACCAGCATGCTGGCTAGGGAATTCTGGGAGTTGAAGACCACATGGCTCAAACTTGCCAAGGTTGAAAAGCACTGCATTTGAGGAGCTGTATTTACACCAGCTCATTTTACAAAGTGCTTCTTTGAAATGCTTTGTGCAGCCTTAACAAATCGCATTGCTTCTTGAAAAAAAGTAATGTCACTTCTTCACAGAGAAAACAGCACAGTTGTGATAAATTAATTTCTAAGGTGATGTAGGTCTTATTACAAGTGTCCTTCTTAGGATGACAGTAGACACCCTCTTCACTTTAACCTTGAATTTTTCCAGGAATGGAAACCTGCTTAGCAATGTAACCTGGTGTTTCTTCTCAATCTTTTGGATCTTAAGTGCCAGCAATCACACTTTCAAAGACACAGGGTTCTACCCTCATGGAAGCAAAAATCCACTAACCCCAAAAGGGAATAGCATGAGAGTAATGTGTTTATGTATGTTAAAGACTTAAAGTTTCCTTAACTTATTTTGTATCCTATCTCAACTACTGAGTCCCAGCTCTGATATTCTGGGAGTTGATGTCCAGATATCTTAAAGTTGCCAGGATTGAGAAACACTGGAATACACCCTTCATCATCTTTAATCCCTATCTTCAACACTTACTACTATGCAGCTACCAAAGTTGGAAGAACCACCAAGTGAAAAGTTGCAGCCCTTTGTTGAGCTTATTGTTAATACATTTTGCAGAATGAGTCTGCATACTTACAACTTTTGTAGCTTTCTTTTTTAAAAAGCTGTTGGTAGTGTACTCTATGCCAAAGAAGGAAAAAAAGTAAAATCTGGCCCAGTAACTGTTGATGATGAAACTGTTATTTCAATTATTAAATATGGGGCTCCTGAGAATCCTTTGAACATTAAATGCTATACTGCAGCTATAAATAAGGCTGCAATCCAATATACAAATGAGAGAGAAAATCCTGTTAAACTAAATGTAATTTGATTACTGAGTATTTGTTACTGGTACTTTTCATATACATGTACAAAGCCTCATAATTTTTGACATAACAAGAATATAGATCTGAAGTCTGGAATCTCACTGTTCAGATGGCATTAACTCATATCATTCCAGTGTTTTCTTACAGTCCAAAAATAACTTGACTATTTTATAGCAAGCACATTTGAAAGGCACAGGTACAGTGGAAATGCAGATGAAAGCCTATCAGTTTGAAGCAAAAGCTGACAGCCAGGAGAAATGAGGTGGTAAAATAATGGGTAGATTGCAAGTGAAGTAAAAATGACAAGATAAAAAGACTTTGAAGCTTCACTGGCATAGACAGCTCTTGATCCCTGGTGATCATGTCTCAGAAATGGATCCAGGTTTGGTTAGGCACCAAGAATTTTAGGATTTAAATGGCTGTGATGCAAATCGGTTGCAGGCATGTGTAGAGTCTATGCTAGGTAGGATAGATTAAAGGAGGAGTCAGAAGCTAACCAACACCTGGGGCAGAACAGTGTATGTATTTTTTATTAATATTTAAGATGTGCTAATATTTCATATTAAAAATATAAAGAAATGTTAATGATAGGAAGAGGAAAAAATTAATATTTCTGATCTATGTTGTTCTCTACCTGAAATATTTTTTAATAATATTTAAAATTGTCAGTCACATTAAGATTATCCAAAAAGAAAGAAGAAAAATGGTAGTAGGTGTCCATAAGTTCAGCGTCTATGATTCAGAAAGAGAACAAAAGGCAAAACAAGCAAACTTGTTAAAGTAACATCTCAGCTTGATCAGCTGATGAATACAGTTTCCTTGCCATTCTCAAGGAATGCATACATTGACACACATTTAGTATTCCTTAGTTCTCTGACCAAAGAATGGGGTCAAACAATAGTTCTCTTCAGCTATGGAATCTGGCCCAGGGTTGGATACACCATCCTCATCCACCAAATTGTTTCTTTCATGCACAGAATTGAGAGGGTTTTCCTATTTGTCCTGTTTCAGGTTTCAGTTCACATGCACGTACTTGCTAGGTGAGGAAAGCAGTTTACTCAAGGCTGAGCTGATAATAGCAGATAAGGGAAGACATGTAAATCAACAAAGTCTCATGGAAAGAAAGTCTGCCTAGGTGGTTTCAGTTTCAACAGGAAGATGCAGAAGAGTAGTCAAAATCCAGTCCCAAGTTCAGAGAGCCAAATCAGGTTTGTCAGCCAGTCCAAGGTCAGAGTTTCACAAGCAGGATTCAGAGGACTAACACACCAGAGCAGGAAATCAGACAGCCATTTCTGACAAGGAGTCACGAGTCAGAGCTGTCTCTTAAATCAGGCTGAAGCCAGCTGCCTTTAACCAAGAGATTTACTCCTTTGCTTAGCAAGGAGTCCTAATAAACATCTTTCCTCAGTTCTCTGCTCTACTCCAAGGGCTTGGAGGCCTTATGTCATCATCATCTGACTGCTCCAGCTGTTCAGGTGGTGCCTGTGTTTGATCAGCCTCAGGTGATTCTTGGCTTGGTCTCTCCTGAGGCTGACATTCCACAGATTCAGCTGGAGCAGCTCCTTCAGAGTCAGATTCAGAGCCTGAGTCCTGGGCCATGACACTATTTCCCATCTCTCTATACTGCTGCTGGTATGTACATAAAAGGTTTAAAGCTGGAACGACCAAAGGCCACTGAAGGACGGCCCATGATAATTACCCACAGTATTGTTTCCAGTGACTCTGGAAAGTTCTGTGTCCTTTTGATTGACATATTAATACTATAAATTCTTGCCTGTTGTTCATGTCTCTCTCCCCTGCTTTTGCCTGCTGCTTATCCCATTTTTGCCAATTCATGTGTTGACATTTGCCAATGTTTAATAAAGAAACATTAAGTTATATTTTTTGCTAGCTGTATTGAGTATGGTCTCTTTGCTGGATATAGGGCCTCACTGGAAGTGCTTTGGGGGCAAACTAAACTGGAAATTACTCACAGCCATTTCCCAACACCCATACTGAAAAACCATTTGTAAAGCAAACAAAACCAGCAAAGAAAAGATTGAAGCTGACGGTAGCCAGAAAGGGAAGATAGAACATGGATTATGGAAATCAACAGGGCCAGCCTATGTTGGATTTGGACTGGAATTCAAATTTTGGCTTAACTAGGAAACATAGGGAGATCCTGAGTCAATAGCACTCCCTTTCCTCAGAGGGATGACTTGAAAATAAATTGGTATAATGCACACGCATGCAACCCTTTCTCCAGAAATAGTGGTGGGGCTTCAGGGAAGAACAATTATGCGGTTCCTTTAGCCTTTTCAGAAGGACAGGACAGGACTGTAGCTGGGTGAAAGAGTCTGGGTATGGGTACTAAAGGTCTCCAGCTTGATGCCTGGCAACACCCGTTAAAAAGGCTACTAGTAGAAAAGTTACTGCTGGACAAATAGTATAAGTAACTACCAATGGTTCCATTCAGCATATGATAATACCTGCATATATTACCATATGCTTAATGGGAACATGGTAGCTGCTTATACTAAGTCTGTTCGATTGAGAAGTAACTTGATTCCTCGTGCAAAAACCAGGCATCATAATCATGATACTCGCACACGGCAGACCTCTAAAACTATGCAACTGCTGATGCTACTGCGACATCGGTAAACATTATGAGTGGACTGCCTGTTGGTGATTAGCTGAAGATGACGTTGGCTTCAAACCTGGCCTCTTTCCCATTTTGCTGTGTGATCTGGTGGCTACTGATAATGTGATGAGGAGTGCAAGAAACATAGCTTAACAAGGAGATTTTGACAAATGGGATCTTTAAAGACACGTCCTCTCCCTCTTGGCTCCGCCATCCCTAAGACTCCTTCAAGGCAAGGGTGCATTGGGTGGGTCTGCTTGTGAAAAGGGCATTCTGATCCCATCCCATCCCTTTAATCTTTCTATTGCTTATTGTCAATGGAGGAAAGCAGTCCTACAGCAAGGGGGAAACATGTACAGCTTACTTTTGTTCTAAGGAAATGGAAGTTGAAGGCGATCCAAGAAATGGTCTTCATTAATAAGGTAAAATTAATTATGATAATTGTTGATTTTGCAATAGTAAATGTGTATCTGTCTGTATTTTAATACATGTGTATGTGTGTGTTGGATTCAGTCTGTCTTCCATGTGAGAATATTTTGTCACATTGATTGTCATACTTCAGTTCTGATGCACTGAAGCATTTATGATTATGACCATTTTTAAAAGCTGAGTAGCTAAGCTTCCGGTCTATCTGAAAAAAAGGACCAGTTACTTAACATCCCCATCTAGTTTTACATTTCTTAATTTTTTACCTGGCAGGGAGTTCCACAGGCATCCTTTCATGGGGACTTTCCTAATGAGAAGGAAAAGATTGTATGTATTCTGTTGTAATCCCAAACCATATGATCTCCAGATCAAGTGAGGAATGGGTGTCATGACATTTCCACTAATTCAGTTAATTTAGTTAACTTAAATTAACTAATGAAGTTAAGTTATTCATTAATTAAGCAGTTAAATTAACTAATTTAATTGCAAAGTCTTCAGCAACTTGTAGCTACATCAGCCATTAAAACTATTTAGCAAGCATTTTAAATCATACAGCATTATGGATATATCTAAAAAAAAGAGAATCATATTAACAAAATGCTATACTAGCAGATTTTTTTTCTCTTTCCTTCCAACAGTTTGCTATGTGTCTTGAAGACCAGAATAAGAAAACAAAGGAAATGAAAGCCTTCAGTTGTGGCTCCAAAATGAGTTCTCTCCAGTTTATTTTCATCACTTTCTTAGTTATTCTGCCTGTTGACAGTGTTAATTCAAGTAAGAACCTTCTGTATTACTTTCTAAGAAATGTAGCTGCTATTATACATTATATATGTTATATATTATATAGACAGTTATATAATAAATATGTTACATATTAAGAGAGAGAATAGGAGGGTCTTAATAATCACTAGACATCTTCATATAAACTCACATTAAAACAAAGAGCCAGTGTGGTGTAGCGGTGAAAGGGTTGGAATGGCACTGGAGAGACTCAACTTCCAGTCCACCCTTAGCCATTGGAGCACAGACAAGACAAGGATGCCATAGCAATGCTTCCTTGAGTTCCTGAATGAAAAATGGCAAAGATGGGTGCCCACTACTAAGAAATAAATAAATAATCAACACATTCGAAATGAAAATGTAGAAGTAATATAATGAACCAACGCAGATAACAAATCCTGTTACATGCTTACTGGAGATTGTATTAATATCAATATAATGAAAGAGGGGAGGCTGATCAACTCAAGGAGGCCTTGCTGACAGAGAGGGTAGGAAATGAATATAGGAAGCTGACGTACAAAGTCAGACCCTTAGTCCATCTAGCTTGGCACTGGTTTCTTCCACACTATGGATGGTGCAGATCCATCCATAGTGTAAGACACCATCACCTCCCCAGTCCTTACAATTACATTACTGGGCTGTGCATTTTGCTGCGTCCCTGCTGAAACCTGGAGGAAGCCGGGACCTGGCATGAGGGCTCAGCAAGAGTGCCCATTGATTGGTTTGATGGGACTCAGTTTGCTTTCTGGGTAGATCTAGGAGTATAGTATAATAATCATTCTCTATGCTGATAGGCACCCATTCACACAAGAGTCTTCTCAGGCCTACCTGGAAATGCCGATGATTAAATTTGGTTTTTTTGTGTGCGTGCAAAGCTAGTTCTGTACTGTTTTCACCCCCATTTTTTCCTCTGTCTGGTTTTGAATGTATTCATATGAGCTGAATGACAACACGACAGAAACCCAACCCACTGTATTCAAACAGTGGCTTAATATTTCAGGCAAGTGTCAACTGCTGCGGCACAGGTTTTGAGGTTGTAGGCAAGCTGTCTATAGGGTATTGCTCCTTCAGTTTATGTGGCCGTTTGTAATTATTTGTTATGCATTTGGTATATTTCACAGTGCAGCTGACAGTGATTGGACCACTCCACCCAGTCACTGCCTCTCTGAGGGAGGACATTGTGCTCCACTGTTACCTGTTCCCCAGGACAAATGTTCAGAATATGGAGATAACATGGTTCCGTTCCCAGAACTCTTCATATGTACACCTTTATCGCAGTGGCAAAGATCATCTGGAACAGCAGCAACCAGAATACCAAGGAAGAACAGAATTTTTAAAAGACGGCATCGGGGATGGAGAGATTGGGCTGAAAATTCTTAACATTAGCCTTTTTGATGAGGGACACTACCACTGCTCTGTTAAGAATGGGAGTTTCCAACAGGAAGCCACATTAGATATGAAAGTGACTGGTAAGTAAGGGACAAATCATTTTTAATGGAAATGTGTAATTGAAGTTGGTTCTAAAATCTCTGCAGACATCAACCTTCCAACAAATTCTTAGATTGTGAAAAAAGCAGGGCTATAACAGGTTTCCCACAAAAACCTCTTTCAATCAGTTTTTCTTGATGTTTAAGGAGGAATAAGAATACCATTCCGTAATGTCATGCGTGTAACCTTTTTTCCTCCAGCGGCCACATATTTCTTTTTCACTTTCTTGAAATGGGGGCCAGAAAGTATGGTTGATGAAACATTCAGCTTTTCCTTTTTCAATGTCGGCTTTTTAAAAAAAGCAGGCACAAAACAATCATGTGAATTTTCCAGATGCTTGCAAAGGGAAAAGGGGGGGGGGGGCTAAATCATGCCACCAAAAATTACCCTTTTGCTACCAATTTTAGCAGCACAATTCTGGGTGACTCGGGGGCTACATGCATGAGTCTGGGCTGCATTTTTGAGGGCTGGAGTTTCCCTCTCCTACCATAAAGCAAATTCAGGCAGCTACTTTTGGTAGTAACTCCTGCCCTTGCCACTCTTTGTCCCTCTTCAGTCAAGTGACATCCAGAATATTTACCCCCATTCAAGGCCCTGTGTCTGGTCCTTTAAGGGTATGCAACCCCACTGATGACTGGCTGTACATCTGTGATACCTGACTGGAACATCCATATCCATAGATAGATAGATAGATAGATAGAGAGAGAGAGAGAGAGAGAGATAGAGAGATAGAGAGATAGAGAGATGGAGATGGAGATGGAGATGGAGATGGAGATGGATGTTCCAGTCAGGTACCACAGGTATATATATATGCACACATATACTTCTAGTAAGGAATTATGAGAACAGACAACTGAGACATACTGTACTGTTGACTGTATGCTCTGTTTGTAGGCTTCCTAGAAAATATCAGAAATGCTATTGCTGGAAGTTTTATCAGATCTGGAAGGTTTCATTCCATGTTCTTATGATAGCAGTGTCTGGAACTGATTCAATCTACCATTCAACTTACGTTGGAAGGAAAGCATAGGATCATTCTGACAAATAGCTTCACAGGAGGAGGAGGAAAAAAATCACACTTATTTCTTTGCCTAAGAGGTAAAAAATAGAGTCAGACAGAATGGGAAGCTGTCAATGCCCATAATAATCCAGACAAAAAAGTTCCACAGTATAATAGTTCTGCTGGATGTTTTGCCTTCATGCTTCATCTGACACCCAGAGATATCTGTTCTGCAGTATGCCAACTTTCATCACAAATTTTAGAATTTAGGTTTTATAGTTGGATTGGGGATGAGGAGGGAGATGGGCCAATTAAAAAATAATCTAAATAACCAGAGATTGAAAATTAGACTGGACAGTCTTCTGATCTTCGACAACCCAATGATTCTACAATATTTTTTTAAAATCTTCTTTTGTTCTTCGGTGTTAGATATCTTGCTGCTGTTTTCTCTGATTCCATAACTCTTTGAACAGACTGCTGGAGGGCAACCTTTTGGTGCCCAAGATCCTGATTTAATATTTGGGGGTGGGGCTGAAAGGCAGAGTAGATGGGACAATGACTCAAAGCAAATAGCACCTCATCACGTGGACATGAATGGGGTTTTAATTTGTCTCAAGTTTCCTCCCTCCCTCCCTCCCTGGATGGACTTTGGGACACCTTTTGTTAAACTTATGTTATTGCTTATATGCTTTGTTGTGTGTTTTCATCTCAAAATGGCACACCACAGTTTTTCCAGCAATTGAAACCAGAATGTCACTTCAAGGGCTACAAAAAGGGTTGGGGGTTGTAGATTCCCCTGGATTTGCAGGATGCCCATCTTTAGAACAGCCTGAAAACACTTAAAATCTGCATATTTGTCCCACATCTAGCATCAGGGCCTGCTCCTCTCCTTTCCATTGAAGGTTATCAAGACAGAGGGATCCGAGTGGTTTGCCGTTCCAGTGGCTGGTATCCAAAGCCTGAGGTCCTGTGGCGAGATCTCAGGGGGAGGCCTCTGCCTACACTGGCAAAAACAAATTCCCAGAGAAATGATGGGACATTCAATGTACAAAGTGACATCATTCTAAGAGGAGGTTCAAACTTGACTTGTGTTATCAGAAACAACCTTCTTGATCTGGAAAAGGAATCCACCATCCATATAACGAGTGAGTCAACACAAACTGTTAATAGCCACTGTGTACTTTACAGCTTGAGTTTTCAGTAATATGAGAGTGAAATTCTGAATTCAAAATCAGACAAATTTGCAGCTGGTTTCCATGTCTTGATTAGGACAAACTCAAAGTCAGTGAAGAGTTATACTAGACATCTTTCTAAGAAGAAAATCTCAGATGAGTGCATGAAGTATATTTCTTTGCATTCTACTTTTTGCACTCTTGGGGAGAAAACGTTTGGGAAGATTTAAGGAACATGTATTTATCTAAATCAGTGGGCATAGTTTGGATCTTGAGCATATGGTACAGGTCCTTCAACTAAATGGGTACCATGTAAATGGAGTCGGGCAGGACTTGCTAGTCAAAAACTACTGCCATCATGGACATGGCTGATCACAAAGTACCCAAGATGCCTGTAGGCTTCATATACGCCCAAAGGCATTATTTTAAAAAATGTGGGTGGCTATCACCTAGTGCTTTGTTCAGAATTGTGTTTAGCTGCCCACAAATAGGACAAAATAAAGTGGAGAGTTACAGAGATGGTGGGAAGCATGTTCATTAATTTGTTTTCTGATAAAGAGTATTTTGTGACGGTCAAAGCTCTCTGTAGCTGCTAGTTTGTAAATGGGCAAGTCTTCCTCCCATAGGAGCTATGTTCTGAGAACACCCAGGATACATTCTCAAAATCCCAAGTATATCCACTGGTCTGCAAAGGTGCAATACCTCAATTATCCACTATATTAGCACTAATTATCTAGTAGAATGGGCCAATTTTTCATATTGTGGTGACACTTCATTTTCTTCCAGTTGGAAGGAAGAAATCCAGGAAGAAATCCGAAGCGGTATGTTGATTTAATTTTGGAGGCAGCAAAGCAGGACTTTCCTAAGAATTAAAAAAAAAATGTATATAATGATATCACAAATAAGTCTAAGCATGTAGGATGGTTGAATAATGGATTGGAAAATGTGTATGACAGGTTTCTCCAATCTGATCCCTCTAAATAAGCCAATTTCCATGCCCTACCTTCCCCAACCAATGGTCCTGATGAAAGAGTGTGATAGCGGTTTAGTCTGACACATCTGGAGAGCATCAAGTTGGGGAAGTTTGATTTATGAAATAGTGCACCTTTATTATGAGAGCAAGTAAGCAAGTCCCTGGCACAGGGACCAATTCAAATGTAAGTACTGGAAGGGGTGGCATGAGGATCCATTGGTGTGTAGAACCATATGCCAAGTGCAGCTACAGAAACATTCGTGAATCATAGCAGAAGGGATAGGAGAGACAGAAGCAGAGCATTTTCTAATATTTTGAGATTGCTTTAATCTGGATTCATCTATTATTTCTTTCCCTTTTCAGATCACGTCTTCCCCAAAATCTCATCCTGGATAGTAGCTCTATGTCTTTCCCTAACAGCTGTGGTTGGACTCACTATATTTATTTTTTATCTACTGAACAGAAACAGTGAGTACATAGGAAATTGTCCGTTATGGGGATAGAAGTAGTGTTATTGCACGGTTAATCACCAGCTAGCCCTGTGGTTACAATAATTGTATCTGGATAGAATCCAGGTTTCTTAAAAGACTGGGATGTAACATTTCTCTTTTAACTTCCTAACTGGTATGTTTTCTAAGGGCAAATCTGCAGAGCCCCCTTGCCCCAGTGCAAGGAGGCCACACTACCCTTTTGGTGAGCACACATCTTTGCCTGTGCTGTATCGTAGCATTCACCTGCCACTAAGGACGGTGTAAGATGCTCTCCTCTGGAAGGGGTATTTTCCGTAATATCCTGCCTCAAGATGCTACACGCAGCTAGCGTAGGGCATATTGATATGCATCATGGAGGCGGCCTGAAATGACGTGTCCTGTGCTGGCAATCTTGTGGCTCTAGCTGGTTCTGCTGGTTCCTGTGGGACCAGCCCCTTCAGTCTGTCCCTCATCCCTTCACCCACCCCTCACTCCACTTTTGGCTGCAAGGTAGACTGAAACTCTGGCTTCTGCAGCCACTTTTTCTCAGTGGGTTGGTCAACTGGTCCATCTAGCCTTGAAATTGACTAGCCCGTTCCAGGTTGAAGACCTGGAACTGAAATGTAATGGAAAGGACTCAGCTTTTGTTCTTCTGTAGCCTGCCTAGCAGGCAATTCCCTTCCCAGTGGCTACTGCATCCACAGAAGCTCTTGTTCTTTACTTCCTCTCCTCACGTTATGTACTTAGGATAGTTTACCACTCCCACACAGATCTTCACAGTTAACCTTTTGCTAAACTTCTGTTCCTCAACAGCTGTATCTCAGCTGCAGAAAACTATTGTCCACTAGATGGCAGCCATCAGCTACAAGAAATGCTCTTTGCTGCCATCTAGTGGAGCGGTGTTATTTAAACTTTTTGCTCTCAGGACCCCTTCCCACTTTTAAAACTTATGGAGGACCCCAAAAGAGATTTTGTTTGTATAGGTTATATTTATCAATATTTACCATATTAAAAATTTAAATTGATGCATTCATAAAAATAACAATATCAAACCCATTAGATATTAACAGAAATAAAGTATTTTTCATGGAAAAAACCTGTATTTTTGTAACAAATAAAAAATAATGAGAAGAGTGACGTTTTAAATTTTTGCAAATATCTTCAATATCTGTCAAATACTTGTGATTTCACAGACCTCTGAGAGTGTCTTCGGGGACTCCAAGGGATCCTCAGACCACTCTTTAAAAAACACTGGTTTAAAGGAATACCCCTGCCCCCCAAAAAGTCAATCCATCAACAGGAAAGGGGGAAAAAAGGCTTTGCTAGCTCTTCATTAGTTTGTTATTATATACTAGATGGTGATGATGATGATGATGATTTTATGATTTTGTCCTTGTTACTTCTCCTAAGATATTCCCTATATCAGTAAGTTATGTTTTCTCTTCTTCTATTCTAGAAAAGCTGACCACAGAACTGGGTAAGTGATTCCTCTCTCTCTCTCTCTCCTTTCTTTCGTTCTTTCTTGAAATGTTTGGGCCACAGTCTAATACAGAGGCTATCAATCTTAAACCTGTTGATTCCAGTGATATTAAGCATTCCTTAGTGTACAATATTAAGGTATTTCCTCAGAAGTAAGTCTATCTGACCTTACTGGGAGTTATTCCTTTAGTACAATCTTTTCCAACGTTCTCCATCTTGTATAGCAGCAGGTTAGGCAATGATGATCTAGTAGCGCACGTCATAAGATGATCTGGGGATTCTGTGTTGAGTCAGGGCTCTTTCATTGGAAAGGAAGAATGTCAGCTTAAATATATTTTTGTAAAATTGTCACTGTAAAGGGGACAAGTAAAAATCAGTAGCAAAGTATCTGCTGACAGGAACAAAGTGTGCACTTTAGAAAGTTATCAACCACCAAACCCAACTAGTTCAGTCTTGCTGATGTGGCATGCACCATCTTGCCACGGTTTCAAGTAAGAGTCTTAACAAGAATCCTAGTCCTGTTGTTAGAGATTTTTGGTATTATATTTAGGGTCTCCTGTGTGCAAAACATTTAATTCTATAATTCAGCAATGATCCTTCCTTTAAGTGAATTAAAATAAATAGTAATGCTGTATAGTACTTCAAAAGACTTTCAAAAATCCTTCACAATTTTTCTTAAGTGGACACTGAAGTGGAAATATCATAAGCAGTGAAGTTCCCAATTTTTCTTTCATGGGTCAACTCCTCATCCTCACCCGCCAAATTACAGTACAGAATCCATCAAAATGAGGCAAACTTTCTTTTAGATTCTTGTAAATGAAAAACATTGAATTATGGAAAAGATGCACATCATGGAATTACAGACAGTCCTTTTGAACACTTTAAAATGGAACATAATTCTGTGATCTCTAGCATTGATTTCTTCCATGTTTGGTGAAAAAGCACGTGGCGTGAGAATTCTGGGACTGCTGTTTCACCACATCTGGAGAGTACCAAGTGGAGAAATGCTGCTATTATACTTTTTTTCCTTGTATTGTTCTCACCTGAAAAGTTCAGTACAAGGACATTACTTGTAGTTGTCTCAGATGTGATAAAATCTATTAGGATTTTGTCCTCTTGAGTTCATGAGGAGGTTGAGCTTATTATTTATTTATTCATTATTAAATCAATTTATATGGCCAGTTATACCACAAATGTGACTTAGGTGCAGCTAACAAAATAACAAGAAAACCTATAATGGTCACCAAGAAGAAATCCAACCAACACTCATCAGTAACAATGATATCTCACATTTATCCTCCCAACCTCCATGCCCTGGAGCACAGCCAGGTCTTCAGAGCTTTCTGAAAGGCTGGCAGGGTCAGGGCTAATCTGATATTGGGAGTTATGATGTTCCAGAAGAAAGGCACTGTGTCAGAAAAGGCACACTTCCTAGGTCCTATTGGATTGCATTCTTTAATTGAGGGGACCCGGACTGTGTTTCTCCTGTCAGACTTGGTCGAAACGACTGGAGACAGGAGGTCCCACAAATAACCCGGCCCTATGCCATGGAGGGCTTTATAGGTGACAACTGCATCTTGAATTCCACCTATAAGCACTTTGGGAGCCAATGGAGCTCCCAGAGAACAGATGCAACATGCATGTATTGAGGTACACCCATAACTGCCCATATTGCTGCATTCTGGACCAGCTGCAGCTTTTGGATGGTCTTTCAAAGCAGCCCCACTTGATTGCAGTAATCTACTTGGGAGATGACTAAGACATGAATGACTGTGAGCAATGCCTCCTGGTCCAGGAAAGGACCCACAGGTGCACAAAACAAGGTTTTGCAAAAGCCCTCCTGGCCACTGCTGCCAGCTGCTGCTCAAACAGAAACTCTGAGTTTGGGGCAACCTCATCCAGAACCAAAAGAAGAGGAAGAAGAAGAAGATGATGATGATGATGATGATGATGGTGATTTATTAAACTTGTATAGAAAAACATTGGACCCAAGAGGCCCTAAAACTCAAAGCCACTCAATCTTGCTATATTCCAATGATATAGAAAAAAAGTCACTTTGTAGTGACTTTGAACAACTGTTTTTTAAAATTATTTAAAGATATTCGAGATTAAACAGTTCCTTTGACATTAGCATTTATTTTAATCTTTAATCTTGCTTTTAGATTGGAGGAACATGGTGATACCAATAGAAAAAGGTAAGTGGAGTGCCGTTATCACTCCAGTGTACGTATATTCCATCATTATAGTGCTAATCTCTGAAAGTGAATGTTTTACATCAAGTTTTGATATGGTTTTTACTCTGGGAAATATATTTTTTATTCAAAAGTGTTGTCATGTGCTGAGTTCTGGTAGTCATATGTAAAGGAACCTGGTACTATCAGCCCAGTCACATTTTTGAATGACAAGTACAGGTAGTCCTTGACTTATGACCAGAAATAGGGACCAGAAAATTTGTCATTAAAAGGTGTGTCATTAATCGAGGCATCATGTGACTGTACCTGATTTTATGACTTTTTTGCAGCAGTCATTAAGTGAATCGCCATGGTTAAGTGAATCATGTAATTCCCTCTTGATTTTGCTTGTCAGGAGCCAGCTGGGAAGGTCACAAATGGTGATCACATGACCCCGGGACGCTGCAACCATTATCAATACAAGCCAGTTGCCAAGTGCCTGAATTTTGATCATGTGACCATGGGGACGCTGTGCCGGTCATAAGTCACTTTTTTCAAACGGTCATAATTTCAAACGTCATAATTTCAAACGGTCGCTAAACGGATGGTCATAAGTCAAGGACTACTTGTACAGTACACATTTGTTGAGATCTTGATATCCTTCTTTAAAAAATGCTGTATTGTGGGGAAATTTCATTTTTTCTAGCAGTCATTTATATTATTTCTCTTATTAGTATTCAAAGCCATCTGCAAATGTCTATGAAACTAGCAATGTTGAGCATCTACCTAAGATAATTCCAAGGAAGAATTAATAATTGGCTCTGCCTTCATGTATAGAACTTTCTTGAAGAATGGCTTCTGAACAAAAGGGATTCTGATGTAGCATAACAGAAAATAAAGGGGACTTCCATAGAAACCCTATCATCTTTCCATGCATAAAGACTTCTCCTTGAGTTGAGCAAATAGCTAATTTTAGGCTCTGAGCTTAACAGCTAGCCACACATTTCCTGCTTAGGTAGTAAATATGCATTATATAATTTATTCAAAATGAAGTAACATAAGCCTGTCGTGTTTAGGCATGAAGGTACTACTTCCTTTTTTCGCTGCACAATTTAGCCCGGGAGCTTATGGTTCACACCCATGCCTGGACTAAATAGATCAAGGAAGATTTGCTGCAGCCTTTGAAATGAGTCTTTTAACAGGTTAAGCACTCCAAGTTATTTCAAAAGAAGATCTTTGTGCTGGGCAACTTTGCTTCCTTGTTATGATTAAGAATGGGGCAATTGCCTTGAACCATCAGCCTCCTGGATTTTTTTCCTTTTATTTTTGTAAACGTGTGCTGTTATCAATTTTAATTGTATATCTATTTATTGCTTTAATATGTTGTGAGCCGCCCAGAGTCCCCCACTGGGGGGAGATGGGCGGGGACAAGTTTAATAAATAAATAAAATAAATAAATACATAAATTGCAGCATTTTCTTTTTGGTTAACCTTTTCGTCTTCCCCCTTTTTCTCTCTTCCCACTTCTCCTTTTCCTCTCAGCAAACATAGTTCTGGATCCAGACACGGCCAACCATGACCTGATCCTGTCCGCAGACCAGAAAACCGTCATACAGGGATTCATGTGGCAGAGCCTACCAGACAATCCTAAGAGATTTAATATAGAGCGCTGTCTGCTGGGAAGGGAGGGATTTTCCTCCGGGAAGCATTATTGGGAAGTAGAAGTCGGAGAGGAGGGGTACTGGGCCTTGGGAGTGGCTAGAAATTCCATGAAGAGGAAGGGAAGGCTCATCCTTGTCCCAGAGGAAGGAATCTGGGCAGTGGGGAAGGACCGGCTCCAATACCAAGCTCTTACCGTCCCCAAGACCCCTCTGGCTCTGAAGAAGAAGCCCAGGAAACTCGGGATTTACTTGGATTATGAGATGCAACAAATTGCCTTTCATGATGTCAATCACCAAACACATATATTCACCTTCTTCTCGGCTGCGTTCAGTGGGGAAGTGATCTTCCCCTTCTTCTATGTAGGGGTAGGGTGCTGGCTTAGGCTCTGTCCTTGATGGCTTCCTTTTAAGAGGTTCAATCAGCCAATGAAATACGATAGAGCTATCCTTCACATTCTGTGGCCGGTCCTATCATTAAGTAGAGACAGGCAGCTCATTTTCCGTATCTTGCAAGGGGTGTAAATTGTCATTTATGGATCCCTTCTTCTTACTACAGCTTTACAGTCATGAAGAGGGAGAAGCTTCTATCTTTTGACTAGGTGGAAGGATGTCACTCACCTCAGGCAAGAAAAGTTTGAGGCCAGCCCTCTCTATGCCTTACTTACTTGTTGCTGATTTATCTTAAGTTGTTTCCTCCACTTGACCCCCCACAATCCTGGAAGTGGGTCAGGAATGGGGAAACAACCTTGCAGCAATAGGCTAAGGTGTGCAGGTGTATTATAGGTGTATTATGTGAGGGGGAGAGCAACATTTTTTGCAGTCAGGGATTACATTCTTTTTTTTAAAAAAATTTTCAGCCTCTATGAGATCCTGGGGACATGGTAGTGACATAGTTATGAATGGAGGCTAGAATTTTAAGCCTTTTTTCCCTCTTTTTTGGGGTTTGTTTTTAAAATAGGATACTGTATTAATGCAGTGGGAGGCTTAATGCACCTACTCTGAGGCTTAGTTATTTTTTAAAAATCGTGAACAATCTTGTTCTTATAATTCAGCAAACTAAGGCTGGGTTTGGGAAGATGGTCTTGACAGCCCTGGAAATAAAATGGAGAGAGCCAGGCTGAGCAGCTTGTAATCCACAGGTTGCCTCTCATGAGCGAGGGAAAGGGAATGTGCAGGGTGGAAGAGAAGGTTGTTTATTCAGTGCATCCTCCCTGCAAATTCTTCCCTTGCTCCCTTTGAACAGGAATGGGTACAGATAGTCCTCACTTAGCAACCACAATTGGGACTGGCAACTCCATCGCTAAGCACTGCGGTCGTTAAGTGAGACATCCCGTGACCGCACCTTGCAGTTTTACTGCCAGTTTATCCATTAATTCTGATTGTTGGGAGCTGGTTGTGAAGCACACGAATGGCAATCATGTGGCTGCAGGACGCTGCAATGGTTGTAAATGCAAGGATTGGCTGCAAAGCTGTTTTTTTTTTTTTACACCATTGTAACTTCAAATGGTCACTAAGCAAGGTGGTTGGTAAACGAGGACTACCTGTACTGAAGTGACAGAATACTTGCACGCATGCAAGCATATTGTCACGAAGTAGAAGATAGTTTCCTGCTCTCAACCAACTCCATCTTTTGGGCACTCCTTCTGCTAGTGTCTCCCCCTCAAGATGGAGCTGAGTGAAAACAGGAAATCATGTGGTTTACACACTGAATACTGTTTTAGATAAAACCAAGATTAAGCTTCAAGAGGAAAGGGGTATTGACAGAATGCTTTGTATTGATGAGTTGTGTTCTCTAAAGAGAGTGTGAGCCAATTCGGTGATGAAGCTTAAAATGTCAATGGAGTTTTTCTCAGAAATGTTTAAAAGCTAGCTACAAGGAGACATATAAATACTCGCACAGACACACACACACACGTAGGAATGGAAAATAGGTCACAAGGGATTATTGCTATTTCAGTTGTTACTTGCTCTGCTGACCTTTTAAGGAAGAATAACTTAGTAATGATTGATTAGAGGTGTGTACACTGATATCTGTTTATTGAGAGAAAAATCCTCTCTTAATCATATAAAAGGCTACTGTAAAAAAAAAAGATAGCTCTCTGATCTACTCTCCTTAGCCCGAGGGGAGGACTAAGTAATATATTAAAATAATCTATTTTAGGGCTTCATTCATTGGATATGCTCTGTCTTCATGTAATTTTATATTCTTACAATATATTTTAAATAAAATGAACAAGACTCTCTTTTCCTTTTAAATTTAAATGTTCACTCTAGTGTGAAGGCTTTCTTTGGGAAATGTTATTATCCTAATTCAGCCAATCGTATGCTATCAATCTTACACATACAGGTAGTTCCCTGGTTAAAAACACCCAAGTTACAGACAACCCATAATTAAGAGCAGAGCCTATTGTAGCAAAATTCAAGTTAAATACACAACAATTCAAGTTAAATACACAATGGTTCGAGTTCATTACACAATACTACTTACACAGTATTATACAATAATATTGTTCCAACTTACATACAGATTCAACTTAAGGACAGACCTTGGGAACAGAACTCATTCTTAAACTGGGGACTACCTGTACTTGAGGGGAATATAAATTAGTCAGGAGGAGATGTGATCCTGTAGCGCCTGGAGCTTCACTTTTAGTTTTTCCAAAGAGCACTGTCTCTGGGGAGAATCTGTCCCTTTTGACAAAACAAGCATCTTTCTCAAGAAAAGAAGAGGGTTCAAAGTCTGAGAATCTGTGAACCTATTTGGGTGGGAGAGGCTAATGTAGGTACTTGTATGGTGGATGAATTTCTATCAAAAAAATATGAGAAAAAAATCCTGCTTGGTTCCCCATCCACCATAAACACACACAGCTCCTTGGAAACCAGCTGGCTAAGTGACTGAAGAAGCAACTGAGTCCCTGAACTTCATGTAGGGTGGAAGTGACAAGATGATTTATGATGACACAGTGTGCTCCTTAGAAAAAATGTCTCAGAATATATCTGAATTGTGAAAAGCACTGTGAAGTATCTTGACCTTTGAACAACTATGAATAGAGCAGTTTCTGGAGAAAACCCACATTTGTGGAAGGGGAAAAAATAGGGGGGAAAAATAGGGGGGAAAACATTTGGAATGAGTTCTACCTGTTTACAATGTTGTGAGAATGATGGGAGTATGCATTGTGCCTGTGGCAGAAAAATTAAACGTCTGAAAGAGCCCAGAGCTTCAATTTTCTGTTGTAATACTGGCCACAATAATATTTGCTGGCCTCTGGAGATGAGCGATTGCCAATGTTCCTGTATGTGAATAACAGGATGACCCTCTTTAAATTATTGATTAGGCCTGCTGTTAGTTTCATCTTGGATAGCCTGAGTGTCCACGGGTTCCTACTGCTTGCATCAAAATGATGTAGACCAGTGTTTCTCAACCTCAGCAACTTGAAGATGTGTGGACTTCAACTCCCAGAATCCCCCAATCAGCAAGGCTGGCTAGGGAATTCTGGGAGTTGAAGTCCACAGATCTTCAAGTTGCCAAGGTATCTATGAGCAGAATTAGGCAACCCCTGCCCAGCCCTAGAGGCTTCACGGAGGGCAACAAAGCCAGGTATATATATTTAAAAAACCCTCACATATTCAGAGTCACCCATATCTCTGGGTGAAAGGCAGTCTTCACTGCAGATTGGAATATATTGTATTTGGCCCAATGTATTTCATCCAAATCAAACATCAGGCTGCAAAATACAACTTCAAATCAGACAATCCCAATCCTCATTGTTTCTTTGCATCTTGGAGGACTTTGTATTTAATCCTTGGCTTTTCCCCTTGCCATACGAACCTAGATATATCTTTCTGCCATTGCTTAAATCATTGGTGGTGAACCTATGACATGTGTGTCAAGGGTGACACGCCAGTGTTCACCAACACCCAACAATTATTCTCCCTGAGTTACCAAAGAAACTGAGTTTGTATTACTCATATTTCATTTTTGTAGTTATTTGATGTTTCTTTATATAATACATAGCACCATATGATTGGACTATATATTTTTTTTAAATAAATGCATACGTAAAGAACTGTTTCTCTTTTTTTCAGGGGATGTGTGTGTGTGACACACCAGCAGAGTCAAGTTAAGCATTTTCTTAATTTTTGACAGGCTGAGCCCAAAAGGTTCGCCATCACTGGCTTAAATGGTGCATCAGTTTCAGGCCCTATGCATTTCAGGAAATTCTGGTAATTTCAATCTTTGCCTGACAGTCTTTGTAAATTATTTTTGGTCTTTCAGAACTTTAGTTTCTTGTTTTTATATATAATATTTTAGTTGATTTGTTTTATTTTTGGCATTGTACACAGTTCTGGTCACAAATCTTTATTAAAGATTTCATTTACTACACACTTAACCAGATCCAATCAGTTACAGATCTAAGGGTGACATTTGCACAACATGCTTGGTTAACTGTAACTTTGGTGAGAATTTTATGGCTTAGTTCTTTGTGTAAAACCAGCCTATTGGTGTGCAAAGGCAGTCATTAAGAACCCAGTGGGAGAACCAGTCAAATTTAGTGCCACATTCACTTATTCTTTCATCTTAGACTAGGCAGTATAATTCCACTGATGTACCTTGGCAGTTATTAGTAACCTGCTATCCAATATATTTGGAAAACCTAATTGATGCATTGCAATATTCAGGTTTTCCATATTGCCTAAATAAATTCTCTGTAATTCAGAGGTTATGTATGCTCCAACAAATGTTGGCCCGTTAAATTTAATCTAACTTGCTTGCAATTCTGCTAATATAAAATATTTGCAAGAAATTAAATATTCCCACTTGTTATGATCCCATCATGAAAGAATAATTATTTATTTATAATAACAAGAAGATCTTACCTTATTCACAAATTTCAGCAGCAGCAGCAACAGCAGCACAATAATATAATCAAACCAGAATAGTGCACTGGACATTGCATATATGTAAGAATATTTCTGTTACAGAATTATATTTTTTATGCTGGAATGGTGTGCCTAAGAAACAAACTAAGGCAGTGATAAAAGGCTACACAATTTGCAAGCCTCTAGGCAGGATGCAGTTGCCAGTGGCTCTGTAAAGCAGTTTTTAGGAATTAAAAATAAAGACAATATAGTATCAAGGCCCAAATGAATCAAAATATGACAGACAGAAAGCAAACAGCAAAGGCAGGCTGTTTCTTGAGACCCCAACACCAACTGAAATGCAGCATAAGGCACAGCGCTGCACCAGAATTGGAGAGGACAAGTGTATGAGTTACACCGAATTGCCTCTTTTCCTTTAAAGAGGAAAAGCAGAGTTGTAGAGAAGAGCTGCTAAAATTGTTTACTCATAAAGGAACCAAGCTGTTACCAAAACACAGCCCCGACAGGTTTGAAACTAAGGTTACACAATCACTATCTTACATGGAAGCTGCCTTCATCTTTCCTCTCCATCAAGCTTTCCCACCCAAACACTCTAATACAGGCTGTTTTTCTAATATTCCAGTAAATTTATTTTTTGAAAAGCTTTCAAATAATTACTGTACTTAATAAACTTTTTCTCATAAAAATAAAATGTGGGCTTCAAGACTTTAGGCCATTGAGTTCATGATGAGATGGGAATACATTAGCAGGTCTTCATCCCTCTTTGAAGGCACCTGACCAGGTGAATGTCACTGGCTGAGATAGTTGCTCTCTTTGCATGGAGAGAACACAGACTCCAGTCCTCAAATAACTCAAGCAGGTAAGCTTGGCAGGCTTCCCTCAAGGCCGGGATGGCAGGGGACTGGAACCGCAAGGTGGCCTCAGGGCTGGGTACCAGCCCCTGGGCAAGAGGCAGAAAAGGCAGCTTGGCCAGCATCATCCTGGGCCTAGAGGCTTTCTGACAGCACTGAATTAGCTGCCCTTCTGGCAGTCGAGAACAGCCGCAGAAAGACTTCTTCTCTAAACCATGAATAGCAGCACGTTCAAGAGATCTTTCAGGAGCAGACCTGTTCTTCAGCTTGTATGCCAATTTTTCAGAAGGTTTAGTTGTTCTACCCATGGGTGATCACTAATACATTTTAAGCTACTCTGCAAAGACAAGGCATTACAACCATAATCACAAACTCAGTTCACAGATTACACCCATTCTGTTTGCTTGACTATAATTGACAATAAACCAGTATTGGTTTGCACAGTGCTTTATGCCCCAAACCATGTTTTATCAATAAAGTGTCTGGGTTCTCATAATAGGCTCAAAGGAAACAGCATATTATGGTTTAATGCAAAATATGCATTAGGTCACAGAGTCAAGTCAAACAGAAAACCTGATCTAGAGCTTTTCAGACTTTGGGCAGGGCCTAATTTGCTGATAATTTATTAAACTCATATGCCACCTGACTCTTAATGACTCTGGGTGGCTCACAACAAAGGCATCACAATAAAATCAATAAAACATAAAAGGTAAAGATAAAAGA